TTTTACCAACGAATATGGAGATTGACCGTCACAGTATAAAGCCGCCACGGCTGAAAGGGCGAGCATGTTTGGTGGAACGGGAATTCGAACCCGCGACCCTCAGATTGCGAGTTAAGCACCCTAACCATTTGGCCGTTATAAAATACATACAATTATTTAAAAATATTGGTATTTACAATTTGTAATAGGCTGAAGCTCTGTATCTTAAAACTTCCGAAACATATGAAAGAAAGGCCCAAAACAAACCAACATGACAGAAGAAGCTTTGATGCACTTCGAATACCTTGCGCACATCCTAAAGAAAAACAACCATTTCAAACATTGATATATAATAACTCCCATAAACTCCCACAGTATAATTCCAAGCTTCTAAAGTCAACAAAAACATTTAAATATAACCATTTACTTTCGAAAAATAATTACGTAAAAACTTTAATACTCTTAACACTACAAAACAAACGAAAAAGTTCCAATTGAAAATTGTCTATAGAGATAAAAAAACCTTTATGTTGACTGCATTACATACGAAATTAAACACATACCAAACACTAGATTTGTCATTCTTCTGGAACATCCCAAAAGAACCGTCGTCATTTTGATAACTGAGCTGATGCTGATAGCCTAAAAGAATAAACTCATAAATGACTTATTTTTGTCCTTTAAGTTTGAGCTTATTATTTGTATATAATATTAAACACAAGATAAGAGCAGAGATAGTAGTCATGCTGTTCTATCAAATGCAGTTTAAATATTACTTTGATACATTATGGTCGTCAAGGTAATATATATGAATACGAAAATACGGAAGTGCAATAAATAAACTGTAATCTGTGTAACATATGACCTTAAAATATTGCGTCAAAATAATTCAAACTAATCACTTGAATGATTCAATGAGTATATGCATTTAACAAAGGTCAACCAAAGCAGTTCTAATAGAGTGAACCTTTAATACCTGGTCTACCTGTGAGCAAGGGGGGTAATTAATAATCACTTCCACTTTCAAGCACTTAAATAGTTAAGATGAATTTAAAATGTTGCTCCAAAAAGGGGATTAATTAAATTTGCATCTTATTTCCATAGCATTACCCCCCCCCCCGAAAAAAAATTTCATATGTGTTGCCCATAACCTGATCATGGCAGCAGTGGGTTCATGACATCAGCTCTCATGGTGCCTTAAGCATCTATCTATATTAGGATAAAAAATTTATGAATTGTGAAACTCATTCTATTCCTTCACATGGATAGGTCTTAGTTTGGTGGTAATTTGGAAAATACTTTGGACGAGAATGTGTCATTCCAACTGTGAAATGGTGGGAGTAGTATCATAATGTGCCATACTTTATGTTATGTAGTCTTGGTCTATGGGAGAGCCAAAGCTGGAAAGTTGGATAATGATAAACTGCTTCCATTGGTTGAAAACTATGGAGAAGGCCCATAGTATGCTATATTGCATGTCATATCCAGCAATGGGTTGAGGGAAGTAACGCTCAGAAACTACCTTGTGCTGCTCAGAGTCCTAGTTCGAATTCAAATGAACCATTTCGAGGTATTTTGGAATACTGTATGTGTGACAGGAAGAACAGGCCTCAAAATCTCATTATTCTTGGGGCTGTTTTGGGGGGAAAATGGTGATTTATCCCACTGTATGTGTAGCAATATTTGGTAACAAGCATTAGTAAGGCAGAACAGGCTGTTTTTAATGCAAAAGATGAACCTACTTCCTATTAAAACGAGACCCAAGCAACCAAACATATACCCACCTTCTTGTTCTTAGTGTGTTGTCCCATTATATTTGATCAAGCAGATTATGTATCTGGATCTATTACGAGAAAATGTTCTGTACTTAGTACACTGTTTATACATTTTCTAACAGTGAAAACTAACCAAGATTTAAATAATGTAAAGATTTCTTCTCTATTTCAGGTGTCTTCTGGCCAGTCTGACGTAAGTACAAGAGAGTGTACAGGTTGACAGCGAAATTAAACATATTCTGTTCTCCACCATCACAAGGTTTCTGAAGAAGAGATGTCGTGTTTATAGGCATGGTCAGGAAAGTAGGACCTATAACATCACCTATACAAACACAAAACACAATCAGTATAGTTCAAATGTGGCACACATTTTTGAGGAACAATTAGTTTGTAAATAAGCTGACTCTTGAAACAAGAGATTCAACAATTTGATTGGTGAGCTTTAACCAAATGTAAAGAAAGAGGGGACACAGAGGCAATATCAGACGAATCAAAATAAGTCTTTAGTAGCCTGTAAACTCATCATTTAGACATTGGATCAGTAAAAGATAAAAAAAAAAGATAATTTGAAACAGCATTAAAACAGGATCAATTAAACTGAAAGTAAATATGCTAACACGGTTAGGCTAAGAAGAGAGAGTAATGATTGCTCAGAGAACTTTCTATGTGGGCGAAACTTTGAACTCTTGGCTGGAGTCAACTTTAAATAGAAAGTTTATATTGGATAAAATCACTATCTCTAATAGGTAACCAATTACAAGCAAATAAACCTGGTTTGTGACAGCTCTGTATTCTTACAGGATTGTGAGATTGTTAATCTTATAACACAACCCCAACAGACCAATGCGAAGACAGTCAGATTAGATTAAAAACAACTATAGAAGTGATATACCTCAGGGCCTTGTTCCTGTGAGATCGGGGGCAATCTTTCTGTTTAAATGTGAAAAATCAGATAACTAGTTTTGAATTTTAATATATAAAATCTAATCTAAAATATGGGAAAGTATTATTATGATAAAATCATACCAAAGAAATATGTATTTCTTTCTTTATTATTAACCCATTTCATAACATTAAAATGTATTTAATATTCCAGAGAGCAACTTAATAGTAACCGAGTGTGCAGATTTTGAGATTTGTTGAATTCGAAGTAGAAATTGAAAGGTTTATTTTTAGTACTTGTATTACCGTATTTTCTTTTTTAATTTACTTTAATTTTAGTTATTCTTTCCCATATTTAATTTTTTTAAAAAAGAAAGCTTAGTTTGTATACGAACTTGTTGTAGTCTCTGATAATATAACTGATGTAAATTATAAGGTAGTGTAAAAAGAACTTGTATCATAACGTGTTGTTCTGGTTGAAAGCAAGAATTTAATTATTTTGGAACTTATAAAATTGTTCAAATGTTCAAATAATTTAATTAATCTGTTACACCTTGCATTTTGTTTCTCTTCGTACATACCACTGTATAGCGATAAAATAAATTTAGCATAGTCTACTAGAATAAGTCAGGTTTGGAACCCACAGTGAACCCGACATGAATAATCTGTTCCAGAAGTTCCATGCAAAATTACACAAATAGCTACCTGAGTATAGTCGTCACTATGTTTAAACGGAAAGCAGCCTGTCGAGACGAACCCACCACCAACTCTTGGTTACTATTATCTGACCAACTCTTATCCAGCGCCAAAGTGCTGAGCACTTTTTTTGCGGAAACTGGTCACTAAGCTGGAATTCTTGAATTCATAACCTTATCACACTACCAACTAGGCCACACCCAGTCGAAATGAATAGGAATAATAAAGTGGAAAACGATTAAAATTGCTTGTAATATACCACAAACTGGACGAATCTGTATAAATCTAAAACAGTTTCAAGAAGGGATACAAAAATCATATCTAGCATAAATATGCATTTCCAATAGGTTTTCTTACCTGAAACTGATAACTTTATTTTGTTAGAACCAGGAACGTAGAGTTGGTTGTTCTGATCAGGTAAGAAGGGGGTCCTACTAATGTTAGTCTCCAAGTACTTGATGAGGTAAGCTCCTTGAGTCAGGTCAAGCAATAAGGAGATGTGACGAGGTTGAGGTATTCCATCAGACTGCAATATAATGGAAGACATTTAATACAATGTTAACTTTTAGCTGACTCTTAGTCTCGGCTTAAACCAGCAAATATGTTAGGTCTGCAATTTGCTACTATCATTGCTAAAACATACCAAAACGCATTATTCACCCCTTTTTTCCAAGCTAACCTAGTCTCTATCGTACATAAACAGTGGCAAAATAAATAAAAGAAAAACTTGGCAGTTAAAACGAATTAATCGGGTTCTAAAAGTCTATAAACTTTAAAATTTATTTTAAGCTTAAAGTTTGTTTGCTGCTAAGCAGAAAACTACACAATGGGTTATCTGTGCTCTGTCAACCGAAGGTATTGAAATCCGATTTTTAGGGTTATAGACCTCAGACTTACCGTTGAGCCACTAGGAGTCTTAAATTTAAATGTTAATATTTGAAAGAGTTTCTACACTACAAGATCTTAACCCTAACAAACCAGTCAACTTAGCTTTAATGCTAACAAGCTTGAATTAATTTATCCTATTCAACACACAATCAATGCTCTTTAAGGAGTTTAAAAATGTATAATTTATCTACAATACTCACTTCTACGAGGAGGCCGCGGCTGATAAGCTCCTTAAAGCCTTCAGTTTTGGCCATAATAGTAACATTGATGTTACCCAGTCGAGCAGGAACTATGGGCATATAGATCACCTCAGAACTTCCAGAGGGAATCTTAAGGATTAGAGATAAACATCGTTAGTCAAGGAGTCAACTATACTCTTTGTTTTTTAACATTTGCAGAACTTGAATGATGAAATTGACAGTTCTTTTTTAAATCCTAAGAATTTTAAATCTTGAAATGTTTATTTTTTCCAACTATATAGAATAGTTTACATGTGGAATGGAAATTAATCGAAGTTTTTGATAGAACCACTTATTAATTAATGCAATATTTTCATTCTATTCACAAACTAATACTGGGGTTATGTTGCGGATTCTGTTAAGAAGAATAACACCAACACCAGAATAGGAATTGGCAGAAGAGCAGATATTCAACTGGATATGATAAGGGAAAATACAAAAAAATAAAGTTTAACCAATCCCTCTACCTCGCCTTCACCGATTATCGGAAGGCATTTAGTTTTATAAGACATCCGAGGACGTCTTAAAGAAGATGGGAGTCAGCGAGAATAACACCCGATTGCCGAGGAACTTATACAACAACCAATCAGCAACAGTAAGTTTGGAAGAAAACTCTTTGAATAGTTACAAGTAAAGAAAGGCACTCGACGAGGCTGTCTCGTCTCACCCGTATGTCAACCTGTACAGTGAAAATATGCGGAAAGCAATGGATGAGCTAACTTGGATAGTAATCAGGGTCAACGGGAAGCGAATCAACAATCTGTGATATGCTGATGATATTGTCCTGACCGTGACGTCAACAGAGACACTCCAACAGCTTCTAAACAAGGTATAGGTAGTCTCCAGAGAATACCAATTGAAAATAAACACCGCCATGCTTTCCAGATACCCTTCTAAGTCACCATTTTCAAATACCCGTGCGAAAAAAAGGCAACTGAGACAAAACGATTCGCGGTAGACTCGGCAAGGCAAGATCAGTAGACAGATCCCTCAGACCCTTCTGGAAAGATCGATCAGTTGGCAAGAACATGAACGTAAAATTGCTAAAAACGATGGCCCGGCCAGTAGCAAATTATGGTTGCGAGAGCTGGACGTTTAAAAAGACGTACATCAGAGCGTTGGAAGTCTTTGAGATGTATGGCTATCGGAGGTTACTGAGAGTAAGCGGAAAAGCCCATTGGACAAACGAGTCAGCACTAAGGAAGTGGGGGCAGAACGATAACTTGTTGATAACATAATACAACAATAGTTGATGTATTTTAGCCACATCACCAGGACCAACAAGCTCTCAACAAGCATCCTGCAAAGGAAGATTGAAGGATGCAACTCACGTGGACGACAGCCCATAAGATGGACGGTCGACATCAAGGAGTGGACCGGATTATCATTGACCCAATGCATCAACAGGGAAAGGAATTGGTACCTATAGACGGTTATTATATCACAAACCATGGTCTCCGACCGTCAGCAATGATGAAGGAAGCAAACAGACAGACAGACAAAATACTGGGAACAAATAATACGTTGCATACGTTACATTTTAACAGTAGCATGCAAAATCTTTGTCTACACTTTCTTAACTAGTTTTAAGAACAATTAAAATACTGCAATATAATTTTATTCCAAAGGGATAAAACAACCTCACTGTTTATTATGCAAATGTACTTAGTACTATATTTGAGTAAACGAAAGTATTTATATACTATTCCAATTGATTCAGATTTCAGAAAAACATATGAAATTAATATATGAAGTCATACTATATTTTACACAAAGAGTTTGGAGAGATAAATCGAGTGACCGTATCTTAATCACTTAGATCTGAAACTTATAGTATTTTCAGTACAAGTAACGCTACAATAAATACTTCTCCTCTCCTTCAAGTGACAAGTAATCCACACAAAGTGAAGAAACAAATTTCGCCCTTTTCTCTACAAAGTTAGTTTTATGTTTTAAAATTACTTTACCTAATTCCTTTAAGGCTGAATAAAAAACTGTAACAGGAAGTATAACACCATCACTCAATACTCTTATTCTCCAGTGGAGAATAAAACAAGAATAATAACACGTACCACCACTGGATGTTCCTGTTCTCCCTGTGGGATCATTGACTCAATACTCACAAAACAATACGTACCAGCATTCGATGTTCATGTTCTCTCTGTGGGATGTTTGACTCAATATTATCAAAATAGGAATAACTACACTTATCATTGCTCGATATTCCTGTTCTCTCTGTGGGATGTTTGACTCAATATTAACAAAATAGGAATAACTACATTTATCATTACTCTATGTTCCTGTTCTCCCTGTGGGATGTTTGACTCAATATTAACAAAATAGGAATAACTATACTTATCATTAATAATGGCTGGAGACGGCTTGAATGGGTAATGAAGAAAAACTTTAATATAAGTTTAACATAACAGCAAATGTACAACGTTTCGACAAGGTTTTGTCATCATCAGACTCAATATTAACAAAATAGGAATAACTACACTTATCATTACTCGATGTTCCTGTTCTCCCTGTGGGATGTTTGACTCAATATTAACAAAATAGGAATAACTACACTTATCATTACTCGATGTTCCTGTTCTCCCTGTGGGATGTTTGACTCAATATTAACAAAATAGGAATAACTGCACTTATCATTACTCGATGTTCCTGTTCTCTCTGTGGACGGTTTCAATAGACGTTAACAAAACAGGAAATACAGTACCTACCATGTTCACGTTCTCTTTGTGGACAGGAAAAAACAATATTTATCAACATTTGATGTTCCTGTCTTCCCTGTTGGCTCTTTAACTTTATGTTAACAAAACAGGGATAATTACATTTACCATTAGTTGGTGTTTCTGTTCTCCTTTGGGACTGTTTCATTCGACCTTAACAAAACAGAAAGTAGAACTCACAATTACCATTACTCGATGTTCCTTTTTACCATGTAGTCTGTTTGACTCGATGCCAATAAAACAGGAAAAACAACACTTACCATCACTCGATGTTCCTGTTCTCCCTGTAGGCTGTTTGACTCGATGTTAACAAAGTTGTAATCTTGTGATCTCGCTACACTTACAAATACCTACAAAAATCAACATACACAAGTTTCAGATTGCTCTGTACACGTAACGAATATCTACAAAACTCAACACACACGAGTTTCAGGTAACTGTGTACATGTAACGAATACCTTAGTAGACAATTTTCAAGTATCACTGAACACCGACCCGATAAAGATGAATATTTACATATAAAATAAAAACAATTTTTGATATTTTCCTTACAGAAATATTACTGTAAGCTTTTATTTCATTGCTATAAACGCGCTACTGTA